TATATATATATATATAACTGACAAAGATTTCTCTCAAAAGTTTATCATCGGGAGCTGATGCATCGCCAGCAGCAATGTACAGTATGGAACAAGACACAGCAGATTGGCTGATTAAATGAAGCTCTCCTGACAAAACTAAATCCACAACTCCCATTATTACCATTTTTGCGGGCTTACCTCCAGAGTCGTTAAGACTATTTTGGCTACAGAGGAGAAGTAGGCATCCCAGAGGAACTGAGTCTGCTGGCGGAGAGCCAAGATCCTGTCACGGCCCACAGATCGGATAATGGAGGGAACCTGGAGGAAGAGCCGAGGAAGAAAAGCAAGGGGACAAAAATGACAGTGAGATAGATTAAGTTAGATTTTAAACAATCTTGAGTGAAGGATGAGAATCGGTGTGTGAAAAAAAAAATAATAGTGTGAAGACGGGCAGACAGGTGGAGGAAGCGTCAGTAATTGTGTGGACATGCAGAAAAGATTAGAGGAAACTTCCCCCTCAAGACTCTCCCACCCCCACATCTTACTCTGTCCATCAAGTAGCTTATCCCCAGGATAGTATGGCGACTCAACCACCTGCTGTCCAGCTCTAATACTGCAGGCACACCTTACACTGAACACTATTTGGTTTCCACTAGAGAGAACACTCAAGTACCTGTTCATCAACACAAATCTGGGTTATATTTTACTGGACAATATGTACTTTTTTTCAATCACTCAAAAGTTGATATTTCTAATGTATTTTCCTCATACAAGACTTTTCTTTTTTCACTGGGCTCGGCCAGTTTTCCAAAACCCACAAGATATTTGATTTATAATTTAGAGTGGTATGAAGCAGACCACCAAGTTTCCACTTCCAGTTGTTATTCCAGTAGAAATTACACCTATATGATGGTGACATTGTAATATAAGGCCTTTTCAGACATGTACTTTTGACTTTTCTGTAAAAGTCGCTATCTCACTGGGTCAGACCTGATGACATTTCAACATGGCAGAACTGCATGCTTTGGGATTAACAGATAAGCACACACTAGCAGCATACATCAAGGTATATGAAACGATTTAGGGAGGTTTTTTTTTTTTGTTTTCTTTTTACATTTCAGCGCCAACATTGGTCTGAAAACATTACAGGGAGTCATATGAGACAGACAAAAGTAGAAAACACCTTTCTCATTCTTTTTTCTCTGCAAATTTCACATCTACTCCAAACTGAAAAGTTCACAGAAATAAAACTTCACTGCAACGGAGACAGAACAGGTCAGATTAATGAGACGCACACAGAAAGAATATAAAACAGGTTTTGACAAAACACTGACTGCAGCTGAAGTTTAGTTTGTTGCTTCCGGCTGCTTGTAGGAGTATTTCCTCTGAGTTTATTAAATACCTGCAGCATCACACAGCAGCAGCATCCATATGAGTGGATCAGTAGCTTCATTAATAACTTATAATGTTTGAATTATTCCTGTCATTGATCAGGATCGAACAGCAGACATTTCTTCACCTCACACAGGCGAGGTGTCGCACAAAGTGACGATGAAGCCATGAGGGACAATTAAGTAAAAGCGGCCTATGTGTGAATCACAGAATGCCGTCAATTTAGCAGACTGACGAAGCAGCAATGTTACATATCCCACGTCTGAACAGGGCTTCAGCGAAGGAGAATTTTAGTGGAGAATTAGATCTTAGTAGTTTCCCCAATTGCTTGCCATTAATCTTACATTGTCTCAACAGTTGTTCATTGATTTCATTTGAATGAATATCAAAGGAAATAACATTGCATTGGGCATGTACCATCTAACAGTGCTGATCTGCTACTGGAGCCCAAATATCCTGTTCCTGGTGTGCCAGAGGAAAACCGAGGTCCCAGCTCACCTTGACATGGAAAACATGAGCAGCTGGTTTGTGGATTGCAAGAGTAACACCCTCAGGGGGAGTCAGTGAAGGGATAAAATCAAGGGATACGATGATCCTGACCAGGGAGCTAAACATTTAGATACGCCAGGAAGAGGGATAGCAGGACGCTGTCTTGATGGAGAGGGGGGTGGAAAACCTTCTGGATGAGGTCAGACGTGACCTACAGTAAGCTGCCCCACTCAGCTTGACAATGAAGCTGTAAAGGGAATAAGCAGGCTTGCAGCCAGTGTTTCTGAAGAGCCTCATCAGCCCTCAAGAGGATGTGGTGGATTTGAAGCCCAGGACCCGTCTGGTGTTTTGGCCACAGCAAGAAAAATCTCTTCACTGAACGGAATAGTGCCAACCTGTCGGACGTGGCCAGTGGAACAGCTACTACAGCCTAAAAGAGGAATAGTGACTTATGAATGTCAGTTTGCTTGAAACACTGGTCTCTGTCCAGGAGAAGGATGAGGAGTTGCGATCAAAGAGTCCTGAGCTGCTTGGCTCCATCTCACATGGTGCAACCAAAGAGCTCTCATCTCACAGGGATTTGTGAAGCTTAATAAGGCAGCTTAGAGTGACAGTGAGTCTCTAACTGATATTTCCATTGAAAAATACCAGTTTTCACATAGATTATGTAACAAACAATAAAGCCTTTGTGGTTCCTGTTGCAAGAGGAAACTGATCCCTGCATTCATTTTATTGAAAAAACCTGCAGTGTCATGGCATAAAGGTGAAGGAACTGCAAGCAAATATGCAACTAACAACACTTGCTTTGAAGTTATCTCAACAAAATAACTGTTGTAACTATTCAGAGCAGTAAAACAGGGTCTGTGCTCTGAAAGAAGTACAACTTACCCAAGACATCTTTTCATTATCTAGCTTCATTAAACCTAACAACCATGGTTTCACTAAGTGGTAACAAGCAGCTGGTTGTCAACTTCTTATGTCAAACCAATTTAGCCATGAGCAAACTTACATGAATAAAGTGGTGTTGGTACCAGATGACCAGTCATAAACATGGACATGTCTAGAGTTTTAAAATTATTTGTCACAAGAACTACTATAATCCTAAACCAATATGAAGAATTCAAAACTACAACACAGGCTCAAAGCAACACCGCTGCTGCAGCCAAAGCAGGATGGAAAGCTGGCAAAAAAAAAACTGCCGACTATGTGAATGTGTAAGTCAACCGGCTTATCAGTATCACTGCCACATGATTAAAGCACAATTAGGTCTGAGTGTGATTACACTTGTGTATTCCATTAACTCTGATACTTAGATGTAGCCTATTCTTATGACGTGCAAGACAGTATAAGTCTTATTCTTTCAACTCAAATCGATAAGTAGGCTTAATGCAAAAGCTGTAAGTTCAACAAATGCAAGGCATTAGTGCTTTAATCAGTCTGTGTTTTAGGATTATATCACCATATAAAGGCTTAAAGAACAATGAAATGGCTTTGAAATTGCTCACAGTCAACAGGAAAGAAAGGTTCAGCAAAGCCAGGAAGAGAGGAGTTTCTCCCTCTGAGAATCTATACCTCTCATGCCGCTCATCAGGAAAAAATAAAAAGGGTTCAGATATACTCTTGTCTTCCCAGGAGATCCTCTTACTATCTTCACACCAAACTCCACAAGATCTTCTAGAAATGGTGATACCATTCTCAAAAAAGAAATGATTAGGCAGTAGATTGTGCTTTCACAGGTGCTCATCTGTTATCTCGAGCTTAAAATTCTTCGGAGCAGGTTAGGTGTTGAGCATAAGTTACCATGGTGATGTCCATCCATCTATTATCTTTTCACTGCTTTAGTCTCTGTAGAGTTGTGGGGAGTCTAGAGTCTATCCCAGCTGACTTAGGCCGAAGGTCGCCAGTCCATCACCAAATAGAGACGGACAAATAGAGACAGACAACCAAGCACACTCGCATTCTCACCTACACACAATTTCGAATCACCAATTAACCTCAACATGTCTTTGGACTGAGGGAGGGAGTCAGAGAATACGGGAAGAACTCACGCTGCATGGGGAGAACATGCAAACTATATGCGGAAAAATCCCGGGCTAAGACTTGAACCCTTCTTGCTGTGAGGCGACAGGGCAAACCACTGCCCCACTGTGCCGCCCCTATGGTGATGTACCCCAGGAATAAGTGAACCACCATCGTAGCCCTGAAAACCAAGAGTTAGACCTCACTAACCCTAAGCCTTTCTTCATAGTACAAGTCTTTGGTGTCTGATAAGCCTTCAAACTTCTATTTCTGTTTCTCAAATTGGATTTCCTACATCGTATTTCACATGAGCGCTTGCAAAACAACAGTTCTGCTCCTTGTACTGTCTTTAATGTTTTGCTGTTTTCCATACGAATGCACTATAAACAAGTTTGGACTGAAAGTCTGACAGCTCAGGAAATCTTTTAAACAGAAACCGAGTTACTGATTATGCAGCCGAGTTATGCTAATCTAACGTAAACACGAGTAACAGTTACAGCGCAGAGTGTTTCTGTTGTCTTTATTAGGCTCACATTCGCTGCAGACTCGGTACAGGTGGCTGAGCTGCTGCTGACGTCACCGCGATCCGTCCACAGCAGCGCAGGCTTTAATTGTTCAGCTCTCTGAGGTGGAATATAAACAACACCAATCAAATCAGTTCCATTCTCTTCCCCTCGATTGACTCTAATAGTGTTTATGTTTCACAGCAGGGGCGTTTTGTGTGCGCGCGCGCGTTTGTGCGATCGCCTGGGTGTGTGCGCGTCGTGCGCGACTCCTCTCCGCGGGGGGAAACAGAAACTCTACATATTAAACAGCCAGGTACTGCAGTTCTCAGTGATGTAATTGAAAGTAATGAGATTCAACTCTCTCAGCAGGTGTTAGAGCTCCGATGTTGTGTTGAACAGTGAGCGCCTGTGTGAGTGTGTGCGTTTGTAGCTGCAAAAAAAAAAAAACAAAAAGAGAAAGACAAAGAGGGCATGAATCCAGGATCTGTTTACCAACTAAAAAAAACTGTCGTTGTTTGATATTATATTTTTCATTATACTTATAGCTGCTGTCATTTAGTCTAAGTAAATTATACGTGTCTATTAAAGGTGTTAACTGTGCAGTACGCCCCAAACCCTGAGGCTGACGCGTCTTTTCTGACACTTCCTCTCCATTTTATTCCCGCCACCTTGCCAGCTGTCTCACTACTGCAGGAAACAAATTAAGCAGCTCCAAGGTGTCCTCAAAGTCTAGGAAACTTTGTTTTATAAAACCTATCAGGAAGTGTTTTTAATGTCACAGTCGACCAAACTGCTTGACTATTAAACTTACACAATAACTAAACCACACATGTGTGGGGGGGAGGTTTGTCCGCTGAGGAGAGATTTGTGCATTTCTAATGAGTAAACATGCATTTTAGGTATAAGTTTAAA